GCTGACCTTTTGATTAGCAGCCATAGCCTTAACCACTATGGCACCAGGGTTTCCATAACTACAGTATGATTATTAAAACCTTGTATAACCACAGTACAATTATCAACACTAACCAGTTGCCTTGGTGTCAATTTGATTTGTACACAGATATTCATTCATAGCAGCATTATTCATAAATAGTCAAAAAATGGAAATAAGCCAAATTTCCATCAACTGATGAATGGATAAACAAAATTTGGTGTATCCATCCAGTGGAATATTATTCAGCATATAAAAAAGAAGTGAAGTATTGATACATTTTACAACATGGATAAACCTTGAAAACATTACTATAAGTGAAAGACACCAGACACAAAAGATCACATAGTATATGATTCCATTTATATGAAATATTGAAAATAGACAAATCTGTAGGGACACAAAGTAGATAAGTGGTTGCCTAGGACTGTGGTCAGGAGAGTAACTGCTAACAGGTTACCGGGCTTTTTGCAAGTGATGAAAATATTCTGCAGTTGACTGTGGTGATGGCTGCACAGCTCTTGATATATTAAAAAACCATTTAATCGTGTGTTTTAAATAGGTGGATTGTATGATATGTGAATTATATCTCAATAAAACAGTTATTGAAAAATAATTCCACACAAAAACTTGTGCATGCATGTTAATCACACCCTTATTCATAACAGCCAAAAAAGTGGAAACAATGAAATAGCCATCAACTTATGAATAGGTAAATAAAATGTGGTATATCAATATAATGGAATATTTGGCTGGAAAAAGAAATAATGGGTACTGATGAACATGGAAAAGATGCTAAGTGATAGAAGCCAGCGAAAAGAGGCCACATATTATATAAATCCATTTATATGAAATATCTAGAATAGGCAAAAATTGACAAAATCAGAAAGTAGATTAGTGATTTCCAGTGGCTAAGGGGAGAGGGGGAAGTGATTGCTGATGGCGTATAAGAGTTTTGTTTTGTTTTGTTTTGTTTTAAGGGATGCAAATGTTCTAAAATACGTGGTGGTTATGGTTAGTTTTACAACTCTGGGAATGTACTAAAAATCATTGAAATGTACACTTTAAAGTGGTGAATTTGATGGTATATAAACTATACCTCAAAAAATCTGATAAAAAAGAAGAGTATATACGATGGCCCTTTGCTGAAAATATTTTTCATTCTAACATTATTTATTTTGTGGTATATTTTTAGTACAGATATTAAAATTTCAACTTAATGAATTCCTATATGATATTTTATGGGACATAACAATTTCATAATATATAATATACATTATAAAAATAAATGTTAAATTATGGTGTAGTAGTCACTAACATCACACATAAAAGTTTGGATATACTACTTATCTAATGTGACCCTCACATGTAGCCCCAGCTTCAACAGTTTATAAATGAATCCATCCTGTCAGTTACAAAATAATCTAATTCTTTATAAAACTTTTTAGTTTGGAATATTTGGATCATTTTGAATCTGTGCATGAAATGAGAGTTACCATCTAATTAATAGTGTAAATTTTAGTATTTGAAATTTTCATAAAATGTGACCACATTGGGTTTCTGTGGTTTTAAGCCATTCATTCAACAAATAGTTGGGTTGCCTATGAAGTGAGTTCTGTGCTCAGAAGCCAAGTTGTAAAGCAAACAGACATAAAATGGTTGCTAACAATTACTAGATCCTTATTCTATGCTTCTAGAGAATGGTTAAGAAGCTTGCCAACATATCATGAGCCAGTCATTGATTAAGCAGTTTTTTGTTGTTTCTTTTTAATTTAGGTCGAGGTAAACTTTTTATTTAACTATAATAATGTGTAAAGAATTGTAGTGATCCTAAGCTTGATGAATTTTTATAAAGTGAACACACTCTTTTAACCAGCAACCAATATTACTAGCACGCCATAAGCACTTGTCCCCTCCTAGTAACTAGCTTCCTCGCCTCCAAGAGTAACTACTCTTCCGTCTTCTAACATTACTGATTAATTTTGCCTGTTTTGAACCTTATGTAAACACAATTTCAAGGTATGCTTTTGCGTCTGTTTTATTTTACTCAGCATTATAATAGTGAGATTCATCCATGTTGTGTGTAATTATAGATCATTTATTCTCATCGTTACGTAGTATTCTATTATGAATAGTACTTATGTTTGGGGTAAGAATATTTTATCCATTATACCAATTGTCGTTGAGTCGATTCCGACTCATAACAACCCTATAGAACAGACTAGAACTCCGACATAGGGTTTTCAAGGATCAGCTGGTGGATGTGAACTGCCAACTTTTTGGTTGGCAGCCAACCTCTTAACCACTGCACCACCACGGCTCCTTATCAATTATGTGTCTTGTAAATAGTTCTCCTGCTTTATTGCTTGCCTTTATGCATTCTTAAGTTTTTGCTTGTTAGTGTTTGATGAGCAGAGGTTTTAATTTTAATAAAGTCCAATTCTCATTTTTTTCCTTTATGATTAGGAAATTTTATGTTCTATTTTTAAATGTTTTGCCAACTCTCCTTGGTTATGAAGATGTTTTAAAAACTTTATTGTTTCACTTTTCACATTAAAAAAAAAAAAAAAAACCATTTCCATCAAGTCGATGAGTAGAACTGCTCCATAAGATTTCCAAGGAGCAGCTGGTGGATTTGAACTGCCAACTTTTTGGTTAGCAGCTGAGCTCTTAACCATTTAGATCTACAATATATCTTGAGCTGATCTTGTGAGTTAGGGGTCCAGTTTTTTTCCCCCCATAAGCATATCTGCCCAACACAATTTATTGAAAGGTTGTCCTTTTTGTATTACAGTGTCAACTTTGCTATAAATCAGGTGACCATATTTATATGGTTCTCTCTGTTTTACTCGTTGATCTGTTTATTCAATACCAGACTGCCTTAATCATTATAGCTTGGATCTTGATATCCAGCAAATCACTTGCTCCACCAAAGTTTCTTTTTCTTTGTTTTTTTGCTCTGCTTAGTCTTTGCATCTCTATGTAAATTTTGGAAAAAGTTTATCATAAAAAAAAATTTTTTTTTTTAAAGGTGGTAGGATTTTGATTAGGATTGCGTTGAATCTAGAAATCAGTTTAGGGCAAATTGACATGCTTATAATATTGGGTATTCTATTCTATGAAAATAGTATCTTTTTCCATTTATTTAGGCCCTCTTTCATTTATTTCAATCATGTTTTATAGTTTTCAGTATAGAGGTCTTAGGTTTAATACTTAAGTTACTTGTTGAACCCACATCTTAATTTAAAGACTCAGCTTCTAACCACTCTGCTCAACTTTCTATTGTTCATTGAAGGAAAGTTGGAAAGTCCATCAAAAGCACAAATAAAATAAGTAGGATTTTATCCTTTCTCAAGCAAAGATTGGATGAATATAAATTTGTTGGTTTGGCAACTTGAAAAACTATCGGGTATAATTTTTTTCATACAGTATATATCATTCAGCACTTGAGGTTATTTGAAAGTAAATGTGTTATTTGGCTGTAAAGGGACATATAAATATAGAATAAAATTAATATAAACAATTGTGTTTACGGGAAAGGTCTTAAAGCCAGCTCTACTCAAGGGATGCTTTACTGAATGCTTTGGTAGCAATGATTGTTAACCATCTGGAGTGACAGAAGAAAGTGATATTGGGATAACTAGCACCTGAAGAAGTTTCGTCGTAAGTTTATGAAATAGTGTCACAGTGAAAATTGACTATCAACTATGTTATTTGTTAGCCCCATTTTGGTCACCTAGGTGAGCAGTTTTACGGTGTACTAATTTGTATATTAATGTTGTCAGTAGCACTGCTCTGTAAATTTGTGAGATAATGGAGCATGCAGACTCTCCAGGGGAAGTTTAAAACAGAGTTGGATCATTTTCTGTCTTGAGAACATTTCTATATAATTTTGTATCTTAAAAGAACTAAGTCAACTGGGCAATGTTTTAAATACTTATGAATCCTTTGTAATACCCCAGGGGTATGATGCAGTGTAAGAAAAATGGATCAGTATTCAAAATTAAATGTTGCATGTGCCAAGTCACCTTTTTCCTTAGTGATAAAATGTGTATGAAAAATCCTTGTGCTAGCGTAGAGACGTTACGGATTTGCAGGCTCATTGCTTTATTTATTAATCATTCTATATTGTAAAATTATTTACCCAGAGCAAAAAAACATAACTTTCCCAGATGCTCAGTTGCAGTGCTCAAGTTCATTTTTAATGTTGGGAGTTCTCAGTTATTTTTATCTAGGTCCTGTTCTGACATCTGTGGAAAAGCAAAGTAGTTAGTTAGGCTCTTTTGTACTGGGCCTTATATTGTCTGCTGGGGAATGCTTTTAACAACAATGAAATAAAACACAAACTTCTTTGTGTTACTTTTACAAATATAATAACCATATAGCACAGATTTCTTTTGAGCCTGATGTTTGTTGGTTATGCAACCTAGGATACCCTGAGATGATCTGTGTGGAGGCAACTAATGAGACAACCCTTTTGAGAAATCGTAACTTTTTTTTTTTTAATTGTTGTACTTTAAGTGAAAGTTTATAATTCAAGTTAGTCTCTTATACAAAAATTTATACATACATTGTTACGTGACACTGTTTGCTCACCCTGTACTGTGACAGCACACTCCTCCTTTCCACCCCTGATTTCCTGTGTCCATTCAACCAGCTCCTGACCCTCTCTGCCTTCTGATCTCATCCACGGACAGGAGTTGCCCGTTTAGTTTCGCGTATCTCTTTGAGCTGAGAAGCACGCTCTTCACGGGTATAATTTTATGTCCCATAGTCCAGTCTAATTTTTGTCTGAAGCGTTGGCCGCAGGAATGGTTTTAGTTCTGGGTTGACAGAGAATCCGGGGACCATGCTTTCTGGGAGAAATAGTAACTTGTAGTAAACCTCATAATATAATCATACAAAGTTTTAAAAGGAATATCCATTGCACTCAACTTTAGGTTACTTGTTTTCCAAAAATGAATGCCTTCTATTTTTTGCAGGTTTTAAGAAGAAGCAGTGATGAAGAAAAAGTTCTTTGCTTGGTTCGTCAACGGACAGGCCACCACTGTCCAACAGCTGTGATGGTGGTGCTCATCATGGTGTGGGATGGCATTCCTCTCCCCATGGCTGACAGATTATACACAGAGCTCACCGAGAGTCTAAAGTCATACAATGGGCATCCCACTGACCGCAGATGCACCCTCAATGAAAAGTAATCAAAACTGTTTTGTCCCATTTGACATCCAGATCTCTATTATATAATGTTAAATTGTTAATTAACTGCAAACTAATCTTTTATGGGAGGACAGGATTATGGAACTGTGGAACCAAAAAAGATAAACATTTCTATAAAGGGAGATTTGATTTCACAGTGAGTTAAGGCCATTTTAGAATATTTTCCATTTTGCTTCCCTCTTTGATATCTGCCTCGAACCCTGTCTCCTCCAATCCCTACAGTCAGGAGGGAAATGGATTTTTGAATAAAGAAAAACCTTGATAGGAGGTTTTTATTCCCCCTAGCAGTGTAAGAGAATACCTATAGCATAGCCAATGAATATGATGTCAAACTTCTGAGTGTCACACCTGCAATAAGTGAGAAATGATATTAGTATAGTTTTTTCTTCAGTGTTTTTAGAATTAGTTTTATCTCAGAAGTCTTTCTTCTAAGGTTCGCCTATTAATAATCTCTGAGTTCTGTGACATATAGTTTGGAAAGGATGACCAATAGTAAGAAGAAAAAAAAACAGTGTTGCCATGGAATCAATTCCAATTCATGGTGAGCCCATGTGTTACAGAGGCTATATTAGTATAGTTTTGAGTTACATGTTCCTTACTGTGAGTGGGAGCCAGTTGCCATTCTTTTGTTTGTGAACTATCTGGTAATTTTTCTAGTCAGTTTTTCTAAAGCATTGTTGTTTATTTATTTTCTCTATTTTTATACAGGAAACCTGTGAGATTTGGAACTTGACAGGACTGCCTCGTTCTTCCAGGTCTCACAAGTTTTCTGCCTTTGATGGGGTGCAGTTTTACCCACTTTTCTATTGCTCCCTATCAGTAGAAAATATTTGAGTTTTCCTCCTGATAGGTTTCCACCTCACACAGGTTCCAGCTTTCACAGGTTTTATTGTATGTGGGGGCTATTGACCCTTTGTGATATAATTTACAAATGCTTTTCCCATTTTGTCATTTGTCTTTTTTTACTTTTGCAAAAGATTTATGTTTTAAAATGTACTTAAATATGTATGTATCTTTCCCAAGTTTGAATCTAGATTTTTTGTTAGAGTTAAGAAACTTTTTCTGTCTCAAGTTACAGAGTAACTCACTCGTGTTTTCTATCTTTTTAATTCTGGTAAAATATATATTACAAAATAATTTATTGTTCAAACCAATCTTAAGTATACAATTCGTTTACATTAATCACGTTCACCACACTGTGCAACCACCACGATCTGTTTCCAAAATTTTATTACCCCAGACAGAAACCCAGTACCCCTTGCCCATGTTTTCTTTGAGAACTCGCTTAGTTTCAGTTTTTAAAATGTAAATTTCTGATGAATTCACCGTTTATGCTGTAGTGAATGGTGGAAAAAAGAGATCCATTTTTCTTGTTTCCGTTTATCCTAATACTGAATAATTACTAAAGAATACATCTTTTCCGTTTGATTTGAAATGCTGCTATTACTATTTAGTGAAATTATATATGTAATTGAATTTCTCTCTGGGATTTCAATTATGTATCCTTGTACTAGCTGTCTTTTCAGGGATTAGTACTACACTTTTTAAAAATTTTAGCAGCTTTATAATGTATTTTGATTTCTGACAAGGCTAGTTTTCCTTTCTTGCGCTTTTATGAGGTTTTCTTTATTACTCATTTTTGTTTGTGCTTCCAAATAAGTTTTATAGTCAGCTTGTCTAGTTTTAAGAAAAACCTGATGATATTTTTAGTGGGGCTGCATTAAATTAATAAATTACAGAGAACTGGAATCTTTATGATGTTGAGTCTTCGTATCCAATAACATGGTTTTTATTTCCATTTGTTCAAGTTTACTTATGTGTCCTTCGAGAGTATTTTAATGATTTTCCTCATATAAGTCTTTCTTTTTTAAAGAAATGTTATTGTACAAAATATATATCCTCTCTCCCTCTAGTCCCCCAATATTAATTTGTGTAACTTCGAGAACTTTCCTTTATGCATACAATGTAATTTCCTTCTTCCAATGCCAACAAGTATTTACACATCATTTTAAATGAAAGCTAATTATTTTATTATGTGGATATACAATAACAGTACTTGCTGTGTGATGGCACAGCTCTAAGTGACATACATGTATTGTTATATATAGTCTTCCCAACAATCCAATAAAATAAGTATTATTATATTTCATTTATTATAGATCTAGCATATCCTTTAAGTAAGACTTCAAATTTACAGAAAAGATGCAAGAATATTTCCAGGAACTTTTAAATACCCTTTACCTAGATTCCTCAATTGTTAATATTTTGTTACATTTGGTTTTATACACATATGCACACAGACACACATTATTGTTGAATTTTTTGCTTCTTTCTTTCTGAATATTTGTGAGCCAGTTGCAAACTTCATGCCTTTTTCTCCTAAATAAATCTTCAGAGGATAATTCTTAAGAATGTGGACATTGTTTTATATAATTCCAGTATAAGAATAAAAATTAGGAAATTCCACTTTGATAAGATACTATTATCTAATCTGCACTTCATATCCAAATGTCATCAATTTCCCGGTAATATACTTTACAGTCGTTTTCTCCCATCCGGGATCCAATGCTGGTTCACACATAGTATTTAGTGGTTTTGTGTCTTTGGTCTCTAAATCCATTGGTCTTGGTCTTTTCTTTGTGTTTTGTGGTATTCCCATTATTGAAGGGGACAGGATAATTTTGTAGAATATTGCTCAGTTTTTGTTTGTTGTTTCTTTCTCATTCAATTTAGCTTGTGCATTATTGGCAGGGATACTTCACTGTCCTTCCTAGTACATCACATTAGTAGCTATCTGAAATCAATTTGTCCCGTTATTGGTGGTGGTAACTCTTTAAAATAGTCTGCAAAATCTCTTTAAGGTGTCACTATTTTTCTCATTTCCTTTGTGTTTTCGTTTTTTAAATAACTGTGAATAATAAGTTAAACTATGTTTTATCTCAATTTTTTAATTTTTTTCTTTATGTATTATTTCCATAACTTAAGTAAATCACTTACTATTCTATTTTTTGGCAGCTTTAATTTTCTTCCTCAATTTCTAATTCCATTTGATTCCTTGATCACACTTACATCCCATTTTTCTTCTTTATCACCTTACTATATATATTTTACCCTTCAAAATATATTTCCCATCTTTGTAAAGAATTTTAGGTGAAGTGAAAATATTTTAACTACCCCTCCTGCCTTTTTTTTTCCCCTTCATGTTCTTTTTTTTTAATATTATTTTATTGTGTTTTTGGTGAAAGTTTACACAACAATTTAGGTTCCCATTTGATAATTCCTACACAAACTGTTTGGTGACACTAGTTACATTTTTCACAATGTGTCAACATTCTTTTAATTGCATTCTGGTTATTCCATTTCCAGTACTCTAATTTCTCTGCCCTCTTATCTTCTCATCTTTGTTTTAGAGTGATAGTTGCCCTTTTGGTCTTTTTTACAGATTTTTTTTAATGGAACATCGTACTCATGGATAATATCCTTTAATTTGTGTGCCAATATGTTGTTTTGCTAAAAGGTGACCTTACGGGATAGTTTTGGTTCGAAGTTTAAAGAGTATCTCGGGGCGATAGCTTCAGGAAGTTCTCTAGTCTCAACTGGTTCAGTTTAAGTCTGGAATTTTTAAGAATTTGAGTTCTGTTCCATGTTTGTCTCCCATTCTATCAGGGTACATCATTGTGGCCCTGATCAGAACAGTTGGTAGTGGTAGCCAGATGCGATCTAGTCCTTCTGGTCTCAGGATAGATGAAGCCATGGCTTGTGTAGGCTATTAGCCCAGTAGACGAGTTTCCTCTCTTAGACTTTGGTTCCCCTCTTTCTCCTTTGTTCCTGACAAGTAGAGATCAATAATTGTATCTTAGATAGATGATCGCAAGCTTTTAAGACCCCAGACACTATTCACCTCACTAGGATGCAGAACAAGAACTTTGTGAACTATATTATGCCAATTGACTGAGTTTTCCCATGAGACTAAGGTCCTAAGTCTTCAAACCCAGAAAACCAATTGCACAAGGTGTTTAGTTATGTCTGAGAAGTATCTGTAACTGTCCTCTATGAATGTATATGTGTACACACACACATCTCTATGTACATGGACATATAGATACTAGTCTGTGCACACATTATGTACACACCCATACCTACCTATAAACATATGCCTATACAAATACATATGTTACCATATATTAATTTTTTGGTTATTGTTGGTGTTGTTGCCAAATTATATATGTCATGTTCTATAGCATAAACATCCTTTTCTCTTGAATGCTTCTCAGTGGCATCGTTTACTTTGGTCAAGCTGTGCTCATTACACCCACATTTAGGGCCACATTTCCCATCACCAAAAATAACAAGTATCTAAAATCTAGAGAGTAATTCCCCCTGCCCACCACTCATCCCTGGTAACCACCAATGAACATTGGTTTCTCTGTATGTGTGTGTTTTGTCTTCTTATAAAAGTGGAGTCATACAATATTTGTGATTGACTTATTTCACTTTGCATTACATCCTCCAGGCCCATCTATGTTATATTTCATGGACTCATTGTTCTTTATGGTTGCATAGCATTCCACTGTATGTATGTGCCACATTTTGCGTATCCATTTATCTGTTGATGAGCACTTAGGTTGTTTCCCTTTTTTTGCTATTGTGAATAATGCTGCAATGAATATAAGTGTGCCCTTTATAGTATCTTGAATGATCGTTTTTGTAGTCTTTGCTTGCAAGCAATATTATCTTATGTATCAGGCATTTTATGTGCTTAAGGGTTTTTGTTATTTTTTTTTTCTTGGTTGCTTGTATTTTTTTGACATTACATAAGTATTAGAAGTTTCAAGCATTTTGCAAATTTGTAATCAAAATAGAATATAGACTACTTCCTTGGTTTCATATCTCTGTATGTGTATTCTAAACATTGTCATTCTTAAAATAGATTTTTTTCTGGCTTCAGAAATGCCCCTAAATGATACAATTGTCATGTTATTGATTGAAACAGACTCTCCACTTCTTTTTTTCTCTTGTGACATTCATACAGAATTATTTTAAAAGTGACAAAATGATTTCACATACAATACCAATCTCATTTTACAGATGAAGACACCAAAGTTCAAAGCAGTAACAAATTATTCTAACTTTATTTCTGATAGGGAACAGATCCAAGACTTAAAATCCAGGCCCTTTATTTCCTCACCTCAGGCATCTCCAAAACAAAAAGAGGTTGAGAATATTTCAGACTTGAATAGTTTATTGACATTTATTTGTGTTTACGGTCTTTGACAAACATTTTAGTTCAAAACTTAGTTATAATCAAGTTCAGTTAGCTTTGTATTATCTGTGTAAAATTTCATTAGATTAAAGAAATAATAAAATAGGAAAGCATTATAACCAGTTTATTAGTCGTCTGTACTTCTTAAGTTATAGGAACCTGAAATGTTCTGCCTGCGATTCTGTCCTGCTTTATTAGCTAATTACCTTATAATTACTATCTTACAGTCGTACCTGTACATGTCAAGGAATTGATCCAGAAACTTGTGGAGCTTCATTCTCTTTTGGCTGTTCGTGGAGTATGTATTTCAATGGCTGCAAATTTGGTAGAAGTCCAAGCCCCAGAAGATTTAGAATTGATCCAAGTTCTCCCTTGCATGTAAGTTTCCATTTTATTTTTGAACTACACAATGAATATATATATAAGTACATTCCTTTTAAAGTATTGAAACACTAAAAAATTAAATATTTAAAAGTAGTAATGAAATAGTAAAAGAAAAAACTAAATAGTTAAAAATTCTAAATAAATTAAATAAATTCTTTAACTACCAGTCCAAATTCCAAATGTCCTTTGTCCCCTCCTCCCACTCCCTTACCCTGGAGAGAATCTCTGTTAAAAGAATCTAGAATTTTATACCGAGCCAAAGTAGGAAGAATAAATAAAGCTATTTTCCAACATTTCAAAGACTCAGAAAGTTTACTACCCACAGACCTACTATGAAAGAATTACTAGCGGACGTAATCCAGAAAGAAGATGTATGAAACCGGAACGAATCTGTCCGGGACACGAGGCCATGGTGAGCAAAGAAATTAGTCAAACTTACTGTTAAGTTTAAATAAGTTTAGTACTTACATTTTTAAATTAAAATAACAACCTATAAGTATGATTCCATTCTCCTATCAACTCAGGGGTGGATGGGGTGGGTAGGCAGTGGGAGGGGGTGGGAACCATTAGGATGTAAGTGTGCTAATGTTTATTTGCCTTGTTTTGGGTGTGGAGGATTTAGGTACTAATTAATTCTCAGTGTTTTTCAAACTTTGAGCAGTGACCAAAAGTAAAAAATGTTTTATAAATGCACACTAGCATACACATACATAATACACACGTGAATAATTAAAACAAAGTTATCAGAAAATAATACTTAACTTTGATTATACATGTAACAAAGCTAATACTAAAATATAACAAAAGTTAATATAAAATATAGCTCTTGCTAAGGATCTGTATGATGCACTATAATATATATATATATTTTTTTTTTACAAAATTTCATTTCTTTTTTAAATGGTACCGTAGTCATGACCTACTAAACTGATTTCATGGGCCACTGGTGAGTCATGGCCCACAGCTTGGGAAACACTGCTTTTGATGTTGTCAGTAAAACATATTTGAGAAATTGCATGTCAAAAATGTTTTCGATCAATAGAATATATATCTTTTGAACTATTTGTAGAAAAAAGAGAAAAGAACCCATCCAAAAATCAGCGAAGAGAGTTTTAAGAAATCACTAGAATGCAGAGTAAATAGAAAATACAAAATAAGACAGGAGGAATTAATCCAAATATATCTGCAATACAATGAATATAGCATCTCTTGGAAGAAACTCAGAACTGATAAATAATGATCCCTTTAAAGAGAGAATCAAAATTATTCAGCATTTTTGTAGTTCCTAGCTACCACAAGAAAAAGGAGTATCTCTACATATTAACAAGAGAGCAGGAACTATCATTATTCTTAGATAATAAGATTTTCTGTCTAGAAAACACAATAATATTCAACTTCCAGAATATTACGACTATAAACAGAGTTTAACAAGATGGCAAGATAGAAGGCCATCTTGTTAAAAATTAATAATTTTCTTACCTACCAGTAATAATAATTAGACAATATATTATTAAAAAAGTAAGTCCCATCACATTAACAACAAAATCTATGAAGTATCTTAGAAGTCTAACAAGAAGTGTTTTAGGCCTTTAGGGAGAATCTATAAAACTTTACTAAAGGGCATTAAACAATGGAAAGGTACCATGTTCAAATATTAGAATATTTGAAAGAAAACCAGTTAAGTTTTCTTTCTAAATATTATATGATGGAAGTGTATCTTAGTATACAAATATATTAGTAATATTGACATTTTTGTGTTTGTTAATTTTTTATTAGACCAATTTTGTTACAATTCATAAATATAAGATCAGTATTTGTGTTTTTTATTAATAATGAGTAACATTTGTATAGTGCTTGTAATGCAGGAAGAAGCATGGCTCATTCAAGGAACTGACAGAAGGCAGGTATGGCTGAAGTGTAGCAGGCAAGGGAGAGTGAGGTGCATGCAGTGGCCTTGTAAGCCATATCTTGAATCTTGGAAGATCATTGAAGGGTTTTAAGGAGGAGAGTGACATAATCACACTTGTCTTTTAAAGAGATCTCTCTGGCTATTCTTTGAATAATGGGTTAGAGGTGGCCAAGAGTGAGTTTAAGAAGACTAGCTAGTTATCTATGAGAATAAAATGGTGGTTTGGAATAGGTTTGTAATAGAAAATGGTGAGCAGTGGTTCATGTGGAGAGATTAAAGAAAAAAAAAAAAAAGTGGTGTTCCTTGACATGGGGTAAACTGGAATAAGACCAGGTTCATAAGAACAGATCATGAGTTCAGTTTAGACTTGTTGGGTTTGAGATTCCTAAGGGAGTCCAAGTGGGGATGTCAGCTTAGTAACAATATGAATCTGGAATACAAGAAATGGTTTGTGGTCCAGGTTGTAATAATAACCATGGATGTGGATATGATGATTGTAGAGATCATAATATACAGAGTGAGAAGAGCAGATAGATGGAGGTTTCAGCACCAATAGATAAAAGTCCAATAAGAAGAAGCCTCTAAGCGTGACATGCACATTCATTCAAAAGAAACAATTAGTAATTGTCAGGATTTTCTTTTTAATATAAAAATGAGCCTTGCATTAGTAAATGATACCAGTAGTCAACTGTATAAACTTTAACTGTTTTGCTTCTACTCACCTATTATATTTCAACATTTCCACACAACAAATGTAAAAGATATTTCATAAGAGGATAACTAGAACAAAGTGATACAAGAATATTAAAGAATTTAAACCTAATAGTGCATAAGAAGTATAGAGTTTGCATATGGCTTTTCCAAAGTTTCCCTGCATCATTCTACTAGCAAGAAAACACAATTACCCACCAAACCCAATATTTCAAGTGTTAGGAAACATAATTAAAGTATTTTAAATACTAATTCTAAAATTTCTCCCAAATAAATGCAATAATCAACATGTGAGAATAGCCACAAAGTGTTTTTAAAGAAGAGTCATGACTTTCCTTACTATGTATTATTAAACTACAGGAATATACATATAAGTAGACAGATGAATGGAAAAGACTAATCTAGAAAGATAGTTTGTAGGAACTTTTTGTATAATAATAGCATCAGCACAAATCAGCAGGAAACCATAAATGTTATAACTGATGCTTTACACTTAACAAGATGGAGGCTAGTCAAAATCACTTAAGAACTGACTTCCTATTGTCTACATTGCTGTGCTATTTTGGCTTTTATAATCATTTGATGCATACTAGAGGTGAACTTATCCACAAGAAGGGGCTCTTTCCATGTTTATGACATCTCCATCCACCAAATTTCATATGAGGCAGAAGTTTCAGCATTCTTTAGTCCCTCCTTCATCCTTGCTCTCAGCCCGCTTTCCATTGACTTCGTTAGATGTGACTCTGTTCATTTATCAAGTTGCTAACTGTTTTTAGAATATAATCATCTCTATGAAAAACTATCAACGTGGTCTTTCAACTCTGCTGGCCTCCACAATCTCCCTTCTCTGCTTCATAGTGTTATCAGTAACATTTTAAATAGAAACTCATCATGACAGTTTTCCTTTGAAAAACTCTCACTTGTATGTACACTCAAGAGATTTCCAGATTCTTGACATGGTATTAATGTTCCTCACAGTCTTATCAAATCTCCTTAAATTTGTAGCCACCATGGTACAGAGGAGAGAACACTGGTTTAGGACAACTACTTCCCCACTTAACTACCTTTTTTTTTAATTGTACTTTAGATGAAGGTTTACAGAACAAACTAACTTCTCATTAAACAGTTAGTTCACGTATTGTTTTATGACATTTGGTTAACAACCCCACAACATGTCAACACTCTCCCTTCTTGACCTCGGGTTCCTTATTACCAGCTTTCCTGTCCCATCTTGCCTTCTCATCCTTGTCCCTGTTCTGGTGTGCCCCTTTAGTCTCATTTTGTTTCATGGGCCTGTTTAATCTTTGGCTGAGGGGTGAACCCCAGGAGTGACTTCATTACTGAGCTAAAAGGGTGTCCGGGGGCCATAGTCTCGGGGTTTCTCCAGTCTCTGTCAGGCCAGTAAGTCTGGTGTTTTTTTTTTGTGAGTTAGAATTTTGTTCTACATTTTTCTCCAGCTTTGTCCGGGACTCTCTATTGTGATCCCTGATCCTCACTTACTTCTTTTCATCTTGAGTCATTTACTAAATGTTAAATGTCTCAGTCAGTCTCAGTTTGTTTTTCTATAAAGGGTGAATAATTGTGCCTGTCTTATAGTTTATTTTGAGGACATATTAGATTTTAACCACAGCACAGGATCTGATGTATAGTATATGCTTCATTTCTGTTGCTCTCCCCTCTCTGCTAGGAAAACTTATATTGTATCAAATTCTTTACTGAGACATCTCCCCTTTCAAGTAGGAACCATGCCTAATTTACTTCAAGAGCCCAGTACTATGAATAATTACATAACACATGATTCTCCTCCTTGGAAACAAGCAGTTTTGCAGCCTACCTCTAACACAATTTATAGTTCTAATTACCTTATAGCATAGAATTTTCATTTCAAAATGTTAAATTAAAGCATAACAGTGACTGAGAGTTTGTATTAAGACAATCAATCAATGTGTTATTATCTGTTAGCTATTTTATAAATGTAAGTATGAATTATGTGTCGACAATCCATCAGCAATGATTAATGATTTAATTTCATACCTTAAACGCATTTTATATATCATTATAAAACAATTTAAATGGACTGTCTTTTCCTGTAGGAAAAAAATCTTGAAGATAATTTGCAGAGTTTGGCTACACGATTAGCTCCAATTTATAAGCAGTATGCTCCAATTGCTTATCAAAATCAGGTATGTTTTAGGCCCCTATAGTGTTTTTAAATATGGTGATATTTCTATATAAATGAAATCATTGTTAATTGATAAGCTTACAAAAATTTTTCACATTTGACCTTTAATATATGTCTAGTTTTATTGAAGAGCTTTAATTTTTTTTTCTTACTCTGAAAAAAAAGAAAAATCTTCCCATTATGGCAGTTGGATTTAAACTCCAGGGTAGCAGAATTATTTTATTTCCAGAAATAAAAATTGTGAAAACAGAAATGTAAGATTGGTTCAATATATGAAAACAATGTAATACATCATATTATACAATAAAGGACAAAAACCTCATGATCATCTCTAATATATAAACATGACAAAATCCAACATCCTTTCTTGATAAAAGCAATCAACAAACTAGGAACAAAGGAAACTACCTCAACTTGATAAAGAACATCTATGAAAAACCCACAGCTTACATAATACTTAATGGTTGAAAGACTGAAAGCTTTCCACCTAAAATCAGGAACAAGATAAGGAAGTCTGCATTTGCCACTTCTATCCAATGTTGTATTTCTATACACTAACAATGAACAATACAAAAATAAAATTAAGACGACAATTTCATTTACAATAGTATTAAAAAGAATGAAATACTTTGGAATAAATTTAACAAGTACACCGAAAACTACAAAACATCAACTATAAAAATTAAAGACATCCATGTTCATACAGTGTAAGACTTAATATTGTTAACATGACAAATCTAAAAAACCAAACCCTGTTGCCATTGATTTGATTCTGGCTCACGGCGACCCCATGTGTTCCAGAGTAGGACTGATCCATAGGGTTTTCTTGGCTATACTGTATTTTTATGCAAATAATGCATGCCTTCTATATTTGTTCGCCAATCTTGCCTTCCCCCCGTGAGGTATCTTTGTAAGTATACTATGCTAATTATTTTTACAGTAACATGTTTAAAAAACTGGCATAGTGGTGCTTATGAATATAGTTTATGGAGGGGAGAAGACATGGTTGACAAACAAAGATAGAAGGCATGTGTTATTTGCATAAAAATACAGTAATCTTTATGGAAGCAGATCACTAGGCCTTTCATCCACAGAGCCACTGGGTGGGTTCGAACCACTGACCTTTAGGTTAGCAGCTGATTGCAACCTGTTTGCACCACCCGGGGACCTGTCAAGATGGTAATACTCCCTGAAATAATCTATAGATTCAATGCAATTCCTGTCAAAGTCCCAGCTGCCTCGTTTTTGTTTTTGTTTTTGTTTTTTTTCCCCACTTTTCACAGAAGTTGGCAAAAATGATCCTAAAATTCACATGTACTTGCAAGGGATCTAGATTAGACAAACCAATCTTCAAAGGAGGAACAAAGTGGAAGGACTCACAATTTCTGATTTCAAATCTTGCTAGAAAGCTATTGTAATCAAGAAAGTAAATTATGTGCCTAAGGCTAGATATAGATCCGTGGAATAGAATTGAGACTTCATGGTTAATTGATTGTCAAGGATGCCAAGACAATTAAATGAGGCAAAGAATAAGCCTCTTCAAAAAATGGATATTTATATGCAAAAGTGTGAAATTAGACCCCTGCTTCATGCCATATACAAAAATTAATTCAAAATGGATCAAAGATCTAAATGTAAGAGCTAAAAGTACAAAACTCTTATAGGAAAACATAGTTGTAAGTCTTTATGACCTTGGATTAGGCCATGGTTTCTTAGATACAAGACCAAAAGCATAAGCAACAAAAGAAAAATTCATAAATTGGACATTATCAAAATAACTTCATGATTCAAATGGTAACTACCAAGAAAGTGAAAAGGCAACCCACAAATGAGAGGAAATATTCACAAATCATATATCCAATAAGGGACACGTATGTAGAATACATAAAGAAATCTTCCATTTCATCAATAAAAAGACAACCCAGTTAAAATGAGTACAAATTTAAATGGACATTTTGCCAAAGAGGATATCCAAATGGCCAATGTGCATGTGAGGAAATGGTCAGCATCTCAAGTCATCAGGAAAAAGCAAATCAAAACCACTATGAGATACTGCTTCATACCCACTAAGATGGCTATAATAAAAAAGGCAGACATTACCAAGGATGTGGAGAAATTGGAACCTTCATGCATTTCTGGTGGGAATGTAAAATTGTATAGTCACTGTAGAAGACAATTTGGCAATTTCCTCCAAAAGTTAAACATAGAGTTACCATATGATCTAGAAATTCCACTCCTAGGTATATGTTGTTAGGTGCCGTTGAATCGGTTTCAACTCATAGTGACCCCATGTACAACAGAATGAAACACTGCCTGGTCCTGCACCATCCTCACAATCATTGTTATGCTTGAGCCCATAGTTGTAGCCACTGTGTCAATCTCATTGAGGGTCTTTCTCTGTTTCGCTGACCCTGTACTTTACCAAACATCATCTCCTTCTCCAGGGGCTGGTGCCTCCTGATAATATATCCGAAGTACATGAGATGAAGTCTTGCCATCCTCACTTCTAAGGAGCATTCTGGCTGTACTTCTTAAATTGAAAACATATGTCCATACCAAAACTTGTATACAAACGTTCATAGCAGCATTTTCATAATGGCCAAAAAATGGTAGCAGCCCACATGTCCATCAATTCAGAATGGATAAACGAAATTCAATATATCCATACAATAGAAGGTTTTTCAGCCATAAAATGGAATAAAACAATGATAGAAATTACAACATGGTTGAACCTTGAAAACATGCTAACTAAAAGAAGCCAGACACAAAAGGTCATATATTATATGATTCTATTTATATGAAATATATAGAATTGGCAAATCTAAAGAGACAGAAAGTTGTTGCCAGGGAATGAGGGAACAGGGCTGTGGAAAATGACTACTAATGGATATGGGTTTTTTTGGGGGGGAATTAAAAGCTTTAAAATTATATAGTGGTAATGATTGCCCAACTTTGTGAATATACTGAAAACCACTGAGTTGTACACTTTAAAACTGTCAATTTTATGGCATAGGAATTATATCTCAAAAAAAATTCTAAAAGGAATACATTTACGACATGGATTTTTGAGAATTACTTTGTCATATACATGTTCTCTCCTATGCTTACAAGTCATATTTTTAAAAAAAAATCTTTAGGATTCCTTATTATCTTAATATTCTAATTATAAAAATTTACTACAGTCTGTGTTACTATTAGAACCAGTTGCTGTTGTCAATTCTGACTCATGGTGACTCCAGGTGTGTTGGAGTAGATCACCATAGGGTTTGCAATGGTGATTTTTCTAGTTTTGCCAGGCCTTTCTTCTGAGTAGTCTCTGGGTCGACCAAACCTCCAACCATTTGGTTAGCAGTTGAGCGAGTTAACCATTTGCAACACCCAGGCACTCCACCGATCAGATTAGAAAGGATTTAAAGATAGAAAATCGTATTTTAGAGTGCAAAGGTTTAAACAAAGGAAAATAAATAAACGGAGCTAGTAATGAAAAGACACAATTCTAAGCAGAAAAAAATTAAGATACAAAATGAGAAGCCAAGAAAGAATTAAAAGATGAGAAGCCTTTTTGATAATTGTGAGGATGGCACAGAATCGGGCAGGATTTCGTTCTGTTGTACATAGGGTCGCTATGAGTGGGAACCAGCTCGATGGCACTTGACAACAAGAGAAAATCCTAGATTATAAGTGCAATTTTTTTTTATGTTAAAAATAACCATAGGTCCATATTTTTTATATCTTTCGTTTTTTATATTATCTTGAATAATATGCTATTATATTCCAACTTTTCCTTTTAGAAATATTTATAAATCTACTTTTCGTAATGGTTCGTGAAATATATCTCTTTTTATAATCATTGAACATTCTGCATGTTTTTAAAGCACTGTGTTAGTCTTTCTTCATAATGTGATAACCTAGGTTGATCTTGTTTATCTATCACCAGCAGAAATTAATGTCCTCACCCTGCCTTCAGCCATAAAGTGAATGACTGCCATTTTATCCCATACTCTCTCAAACTCTATCTTGAATTTTACTAAGTTACATCCATTCACTATAGCAATACACCGTAATCTCAGAACTCAGAAGTCCAAAAGGTAAATTGATCTAGGAACTTTGTCAGGAAATGCTTTTTCTTCTTTACTGAAGATGATTCTTTCTGTCACTTAAAGCTATGTCCCATACTTTTTCAGGTGGAATATGAACACGTTGCCCGAGAATGTCGGCTTGGCAGCAAGGAAGGTCGTCCTTTCTCTGGGGTCACTGCTTGCCTGGACTTCTGTGCCCATCCTCACAGGGACATTCACAACATGAATAATGGAAGCACTGTGGTATGTACCTGGGAGGCCTTCTGTTGTAAAGGCTCCATTACTGTGCACTTGGACTGCAGTCCTTGAATATGATTGACTGTTGCAGTGGCAAATCAGATTTTATGTGCTATGAAATATAAGACTACCTATAAGTAGTATCTATTAATTTTATTGTCATAAATGCGCTTCTAAAAAGTTACAGAACCCGCCTTAAACAAATATTTTGTTGGAAGACGATTTATATATTTAATTATGATACGTTTGCTAGGAGATATGAATACTGGATTATTTAGAACAAGAATTCCGTGCTGTCAAACTGGTAAGCATGAAGTTGAGCAAGTTACTTAGTGTTTCTTTTTGCCATGGGTAGCTCAGTGTTTTTGTGAGGAAACTGCCAAATTTATCATCTTTTTAATGCCTATTGGTTCCTTAATGCCAGTATACATGGAGTCATATTAATATTCCAAATTTACCAGCAATATTTGCAATCAGGTTTGCATACTGTTTACAGCTATGAAAATGCATGCACATGGCCTGAAGTCAATCAAAATATACTTAAATTTTTAGACAGAAGTCCCAGTGAAAAATCATGGAATAGTCCTTTTGTCAAGGAAATGACTTTGCTTCAAATAATTATCTTTTTCTCCCCTAGTAAAACAGAAATCCGTAGAGAGTGATTGCCTCTATATCTGTCCTGCACCAATTTGTTTGGCTTGCCTAGTAATTTTGAAACCTTCATTAAGACATAAGTACAGGTTCTTACAGTGTGATTGGGAGTTTGTAATCAGATCTATCAAAAGCATTAATCAGTAGAAATCTAACAGTGATTAAGGAGCCAAATGAACTTTTGATTAGTGGAGGTCACACCTCTTCACTAATGCTGACAGTAGTCTTTGATATCAGTGATATTTCCAAATGTTCAAGCTGTATAAATCTGTCCTGGTGCTTCCTAGCTAGGGAGTAGTTCATCATCATTACTCGGCCAGTACATTTCACCTGGATTGTCCTCATTACAGGATATCTATGAACAGGCTGGAGGATGGTGCAGATGAAGTTCAGAGCCAAACTAAGTTTTGGTTCCTCTTCTCTGTATTCTTTGACCCTTGTTGCTCTGCTTACTCATGGAAAAAGGTTCTTACCCTGGAACTTGTGATCACTCCTACTTTTCTTTATCTCTGAAATCCTCAATTCTTAAATTTCTACCACTAACTTGCCTTCTACCCCATCTGCTTGCCCAGTCTTTCAAGTTACGCACCTCAATGTCTAGTCTTAGTTCACTTCTTAGTCTCCCTATGAAGAAATAGTCTCTGTATGGACAAATAAAATGACTGAAGCAAAAATTTACTGATTTAAGATTCTAATATTCAATACTTCTGAAAAAGTTATTATCAAATTACACTCAGGAGAGTTGAACATTTCAAGCCTTCCTGGTAAATGTGGCTATAGAAATTGAAGAAACTGTGATTAAAAATAGCTTGCCTTGATTTACCAACCTGTATCCTCAAGTTGGAGGCCTGGTGACTTAGTGGGTAAGAGCTACGGCTGCTCATCAAAAAGTTGGCAATTCAAATCCACCAGCCACTCCTTGGAAACCCTATGGCACAGTTCTACTCTGTCCTGTAGGGTCGCTATGAGTTGGAATCGACTTGCTGGCAACGGGTTTTAGGTTTATCATCAAGTTCTCTTTATGAAACCCAAACCTCCTTGTTGCATTCTTAGAGCATCTCTGCTGTCTGAGAAATAGCTGTTAGCTCTAGGAGTAATGTCTTTAGTAAGAAATAAAGAAATCATTGGCCATATCTGTGATAGAGTTTTAATGACATTTCAAAAGAAATTACAATAAAATATGAGTTTATAAAGAAAATCATTAATATTAGCTACCTAAAGCCAGGAATTTTCTGCATATATATGTATTTTCGTTTCTTTACAGTGAATAAACATAACTTTTAAAGTAAGGAGGGGGGTTGACAATCAATTATATGCTAGAGACTATTTTTTAAGGTATCCTTTTTTAAGTCTGAAAGAAAAGCAGGAAAACTATTGATATGGCTCCTTACCGGATTTGAGTAAAAGGGAGCATAAAGAGAAAATTCTTCATCAAGATAAAATGTTTTGGTTAATTTTTTTTTTTTTTTAACTATTAGTAGTAGAACGTAAGACCTGCTAGAAAGAGAAATCTCTCTTATGCCTTTTCCTCTGCTACTGATATTTCTCAATTCATTTACTGAAGAAAATAAAAATCACCCTGACAAAAAGGGTAGAAGAAAAATCTATAGATAAATCTCATGTATAAGCAGAAGTGAAAAAATCCTAAAGGAAAGCCCAGCAAATTTGAATGATTCATCATGACCAAGCCCCACCCCCCAAAGGAATGTGATACTAGTTAAACATTAAGAAACAGGGTGCTGTATAGGCTAAAATCCTATGTTGGTGTTAGTTGCTGTCGGGTGGACTCCACCTCATGGCGACCCCGTGTGTTACAGAGTAGAACTGCTCCATAGGGTTTTCTTGGCTGTAATCTTTATTCGTCTTTCTTCTACAGTATCACTGGGTAGGTTCAAATCTCTAACCTTTAGGTTGGTGGTCAAGTGCAACATCTTTCCGCCACCTAGGGACCTTCCCTTCTCAAAAGTTAATATTTAATGAGAAGACAGTGAACAAAATTCAACAACCATTTCTTAACTTAGACAATGCAATAATAATGGGGTACAACAAGAAGAACCTTCAACATGAAAAAATACAAATAATATAATCATGTACTTACAAAATCAACTCAAAATTACACTGGTTTGCTTACAAACAACTGATAAATTATTGAATTAGATTTGAGTGACTTGATATAGGTTATATTCATCTAAAATTAATATACCAGCAGTTACCAATTGAAAATAAAATTGAAATTCAGATCCCTTTCACAATGGCGGCAAGAAGAAGCTAGTAATAACAAACAGTAAATGTGCAGGACCTATATTTCCCATTTCATGTTTTCTTCCTATCAGGTTTGTACTTTAACACGAGAAGATAACCGCTTATTGGGTGTTATTCCTCAAGATGAGCAGCTCCATGTGCTACCTCTTTATAAACTTTCAGACACAGATGAGTTTGGCTCAAGGGAAGGATTGGAAGCCAAGATCAAATCTGGGGCCATCGAGGTCCTCACAGCTCGACGCAAAAAAAGAACACGTTTTACTCTGCCTGTTCCTCGTTCTGGGAAGAAAAGGGCGGCGATGATGACAGAGGTTCTCGCTCATAAGATAAGGGCGGTGGAGAAGAAACTCATTCCTCGAATCAAGCGGAAGAATAACTCGATGACAAATAACAGTAAGACTTCATCGCTGCCGCTTTTAGGTGAGACCTTAGGGAACCTGCTAGTTTTCTGTGAACGACTTTCAGTGGCAGAAGGGTTTCACTTTCCTTTGCACCTTATTTTTCTCTTCATTATCTTTGCTGTTGTCTTAGATAAGAGGCATTATGAAAAGAAAAACTTCAGAGAAAAGAGTAATTGGTTAGTTCATTGTTCTTGAACTTCTGTTATTGTCATTTGTTTAGAGTTTAAACTAAGACACTATGTATTCTTACATATGTGCCAAAACTAAAAGTCAACCAAAAAATGGCCCTTCAATATTGCTTGATTTTTTTTTTTTTAATTCCTTCAAACAAACATGTCCTTAATGTTTGTTCTGTGAATGCCTTGCTGATTTTTTTTTTTTTTAATTCCTTCAAACAAACATGTCCTTAATGTTTGTTCTGTGAATGCCTTGCCTATTATTATTCCTTAATCACCTTATGCATCAATTTAAGTAATCCTGTCCACAAAAATTACCAAGCAGCACTTTGAACTGGTCTAGGTGTTGGAAATGCAGCAGAGAAAGAACAGGGAGGTAGGGCTGTCATAGAAGGCCTCACTGGGAACATGGCATTTGCGTAAAGTCCTGAAGGAAATTAGAGAGTCAGTAATGTGGATATTTGGGGAAATACTGTTCCAGTGGAAGGAAATGCAAGTGCAACGGTCCAGAGGCAAGAATTTACCTTGAATGTTTGAAGTGAACACAGAGGCCAGTGTGGCTGGAGCAGCGTGTGAATTGGAGAAAATAATAGGAGATAAGATCAGAGAGGTAAGAGGGGTGTCTGAGAAATACATGAAGGGCTTTGTAAACCACTGTAAAGACTTTTACCTTTGTGAGTTAGAGGAAAGTTACTGGAGATTTCATAATATAGAAGGGCTATGAGCCAGTTCAAACCTTACACTCTGGTAAGAGGGACAGATAGAAGAGCTGGCTATCCATTTAATAACCCAGGAGAGAGATGATGGGACTTGGACCAGGGTGGCTAATGAGAATGAGGTGAGAAATGTCTGTCTGATCCTGGATACAGTTTAAAGGTAGAGTCAACAGGATTTTGGATAGGTTAAATATGGAATGTAAAAAGAGGTGTCCAGGCTTGCCCTGATGTTATTGGCCTGAGGAAACTGGAAGGATGTAGCCCTCACCAACTGTGTTGAGGAAGGTAGAGAGAAGAATAGGTTTGGAAAGATATATGGGGGAAGATCAGCAACCCAGTCTTGGACATGTCAAGTTCTGGAGGCCTATGAAACATTCAGGTAGAGATATTAGGTAGGCATTTTAATAGAAGAATTGAGTTCAAGGAAGAAGTCCAGGCTGGAGCTATACTTTTGGAGGTCAATAGCATAGAGATTGTATTTAAAGCCATGAGGCTGGATGAGATCAACAAGGGACTGAAGCAGACAGAAAACAAATCCAAGAACTAGTCATGGCAACGCCCAATGTGAGATGAGGAGGAACCAGCAAAAGAGACTAAGAAGGTCTGGTGAGGCAGGAGTGAAAGTGTTCGAAGGCGTTGCGCTCCCGCGTACACTCAGACAAAGACTGAGATTTGACCATTAGATTTGAAGGTTATTGGGAACTCTGCTAGAGCAGATTCGTAGTGGTGGAGAGAATGAATGACATGGGTTCCAAGGAAGTGGGAGAGATTCTTGAGGCGATTTGCTATAAAGGGGATAAGGGCAACGCAGTGAAGGTTATATGATTGAGAGTTTTTTGTTTTTTTTTTTTTTAAAGAAAAATTTTTTAAAATATACAAAGTACAGAGAATTGAATAATGAACTCTCCTCCCCTCATATATTCATATCCCAGCTTAAAAATTTTTCAGTATAAAGGCATTCTTGTTTTATCTGTACCCTCACCCAGACCCCTCCCCTTAGATTATTTTGAAACAAATTACAAAAATCATATCATTTCATATAGATTTATCAGTGTCACTAAAAGGTAGGGAATTCTTTATAACCATAATACTATAAAAATAAACAAGAAAATAAACCAATAACGCCTTAGTACCAATTAGTGTTCATATTTCTCCACTGGTCTCATAATTGAATTTGCTTTTTTAACATTTGGTTTCTTTAAATCAGTATCTATCCAAATGAGGTCATACATTATATTGAGTTAGGTGCTACATGTCTTATGCCTCTTTTTGATTTAAATGTTTTTACTCCTCTCTTCTTGTTTTTGTTTTTTTTCCTTTCCTTCATTACAGAATAAACCATTTTGCTGTAGTGACTGGATTTTGCTGGTTTCCTGCCTGTAGTATCAGTTAGCATGTTTTCTGTCCCTTCTGTTTCCTATAAATTAAATCTGAAGGTTTGACCCAAATTCAGTTTTGATTTTTTTTTTTAAATACTATGGCAAGAATACTAGTGGTGTTTTGTACACTCCTGTTGCATCACACCAGGAAACACACAATGTCTGATGGTCTCTCTTTTTGTGATGTTAAGGCTGATCTATGGGTCAGGTGTAGTCAGCCTGATCACTCATAATGTTCCCTATCAGCTTTTTACCTAATGGTTTTAGAAACACATGTGATCATCATCTAGATCCATTATTTTACTAGGACTTATAAAGTCTCAAGGAGCCCTGGTGGTGCAGTGGTTAAGCGCTTATCTGCTAACTGAAAGGTCAGTGGTTCGAACTCACTGGCCACTCCGTGGGAAAAAAAACGTGGCAGTCTGCTTCCATAAAGATTTCAGCCATATGAACCCCATAGGGCTGTTCTGCTCTGTCCTATAGAGTTGCTGTTAAGTCCGAATTGACTTGACAGCAGTGGGTTTCGTAAAGTATCATTCTGTTTCTGGTTGTTAGTTGATCTTTTTTTTCAAAGCCAATATTGTCCTTATCAGTAACTTTTTAATTCTGAGGTATAGTTCATAAAGGGAAATCAGGATAAATGCCTAGTTATTTACCTTTAGTCATCAGTTTTCAGCACACTAGTTGGTTCCTAAGCATCTTCCAATATGATCAATTTTGTAAAAATTTAATATCATTATGACCTCATGGTTTTTAACATAGTGTATATATTTCAGTGATTTTAGGAGTGTGTATTTAAATTTCAGAATGCTCAGATTGTCCCATCTTTAGTCAGTAGAAACCCCTTCAGGGTGCCTTCTGAGTTCTTTCGTTACAGCTCTGATGGTCTTTGATAATTTTCTTCGCTCCTAGAACAAGATGTTGAAGCTCATCTTATACATTTTCTGTCCCATCAAAACCAGCCATTTCTATGAGGAGCCTAAAAGGGGGGGAGGGGGGAGACATATCATCAATTTATACTGATATTCAAACTTAGAATTATAGTTTTCCTTAACTTATTTGGTTTTTGTATTTGTGAGAGATGGTTTGGTTTTTTAAGATGCGAGAAATGGCAGTGCACGTATTTATATGCATAACTGCTGAACAAGACTCAATAAAGAGAAAGACTGAAGAGGCAAGATGGGAGAATTACCACTTCTTGCTTGTAACTCCATTTTACAGATATTAAATTTAGGTTTATTTTTGGTTCATGTATCTGCTCCATACTGCTTGTGAAGACGAGCAACCGTATCATTGTCATCTTACGTCATTCGCTAACAGCATCCTTACATGGAGCAGGTGCTGGTTAAATACTGGTTGAAATGTAAATCATTTTCAAGTGCTCTCTTTTGGATACTTCCTTATAGCACATACCCTATTAGTAGCCATATGCACAATTTGTGGCCCATAACCCCCTGTCCCTTTCTGATCTTACCCGTAAGAACTTTTTTGAGGTATGTCCAACTCAGTAAAAAGACTCATTATTCTTTTAACTCTTCCTTCCCATGATTTACATTCTGTTGACACTTGACCTCTATAATAGATAGAGAATAGACGCAGCCACAGATAACAGCACAGGCCTCTTGATGTACCATTGCTTGAATCTTATGTATATTTTCTCTTTATAAATGAGAATGGTCTGGTCTCCAGGTTGTATTGTCTCAGGCAAGAATTGCAGATCTTCTAAAGTAGATCAAAGTTTATTGTCATATTATTAATTATTTTAAAACATGGCTGCTTTACCTTTGCTGTTTCTTGGTACTAAAAGTTGGAACTTCCAAAAAAATTTTAAAAACATCAAAATAGGATGAATATCCTCAAGAAAATGTTTCCATTTTATCTGAGGTTTGTGTAGATTGGTCAGAGCAGATTGCCCCACTTGCCAATGTGATAACAATGATCTACCTGTGAGGTGGAAAAGAAACAAACTTTAAATGCTGTCTGTTTTTTCAAGGGTCACAAATGGCTTATTTTCAACTAAATTTTTTTACGTACTTTCCCTTTGATTAATAATTTGCCAGTTAGGATGCTTTCATTACCCAACAATATTTATAAACGATTGCTTACTTTTACTCCTTCAGAAATTAGATCATGTATGGCCTAAAATATATCTGTACATCTCTTTGGGTGGTTAAATATTGCTCTATGTCATCATATTATCTCCTGCACAGTATTCCAGTATATGATTGTACTATTTACTTCATAGACAATTAGGTTATTTCTAATATTTTACTATTTTAATCAATGAACAGGAGCCCTGGTGGTATGATGGTTAAGTGCACGACTGCTAACCAAAAGGTCAGCTGCTCCACAGGAGAGAAGACCTACTGATCTGCTCCTGTAAAGATTACAGCCTAGGAAACCCTATGGGGCAGTTCTACTCTGTCCTGTAGGGTCGGTATGAATCAGAATCAACCTAAGGACACACGACAACAATAACAATTAATGAACATCCTTTGGGCTAAATGTCTGCACTTATTTATGAATTATTACCCAAGGGAAGAACTCTGTAAGGAAAATTGCTATGTGAAAAAGTATGCCAAACTACATATAAACTATATACTCGTGTGTGTGTGTGTGTTTGACTTGAAATACATAGAAGAAACTAGCTGATACCAGTATTTTGTTACATTATCCTTTGTACTTCTCCTTAGAAAATACTCTAAAGACAACAACTACCCAAAGTAGTTTTGTGTTTATCTTCACCTTTGGTGTCCTTTTCTCTGTTTAGGGTGTAAAACTGAGACCTTGCAACCTGAAATAAAAAGTGAAACTGAGCCACATTTTATCTTCGAAGGTTCAGACAACACTAAAACCTACTCAATGATCCCATCCATTCCTCACCCAGTGAAAGAGGCCAACTTACCTGCAGGCTTCTCATGGTCCCCTAAGAGTACTTCGGCCACAACAGCTCCATTTAAGAATGACGCAACAGTCTCCTACAGGTTTTCAGAAAGAAGTAGCAATCCCCACTGCACAATGCCTTCTGCCAGACACAGTGGTGCTAATGCAGCTGCTGGGGAAAGCACTGGAATTGCACAGTCTGATGAATCGGCTCCTCTTCCCACCCTGTCTACTGCCATGACGGATTCCCTGGTTTATTCTGAGCCTCCCACTGGTGCAACTGAGCAGCTAACTCCTAATCAGCCAAACCAGCAGCCCTCATTCATCACCTCTCCTCATGAACTCGCTCCCTCTGTCTTGGAAGAAGATGAGCAGCATTCTGAAGCAGATGAGCCTCTGTCCGATGATCCCCTTTCGGATGATCCCCTGTCACCTGCTGAGGAGAAATTGCCCCACATTGATGAGTATTGGTCAGACAGCGAGCACATCTTCTTGGATGCCAATATTGGTGGGGTGGCAATAGCACCCTCCCACGGCTCTGTTTTGATTGAGTGTGCCCGGCGAGAGCTTCATGCTACGACTCCTGTCCAGCATCCAAACCGGAATCATCCTACACGCCTATCTCTTGTCTTCTACCAGCATAAAAACCTGAATAAGCCCCAACACGGTTTTGAACTAAACAAGATTAAATTTGAGGCTAAAGAAGCTAAGAATAAGAAAACTAAGGCTTCAGAGGAGAAAGACCAGGCAGCTAATGAAGGTTCTGAACTGTCCCCTGAAATTAATGAATTGAACCAAATTCCTTCCCATAGAGCATTAACATTAACCCATGACAATATTGTCACCGTGTCCCCTTATGCTCTCACACATGTTGCAGGGCCCTATAACCATTGGGTCTGAAAGCTTTTCTCCCCTTCTTAATGCCTTTGCTAGTGCAGTGTATTTTTTCAAGGTGCTGTAAAAAGAAAGTCATGTTATTGTTTACTATATCTTCATCTCACCCGTTTGAAGGCTGAGGTAAAAAAAAAAAAAAATGGGGTGGGGATTTCTCAACTGTGACTATATTTTGACAATTGGTAGAAAGTGCACATTTTAAGCAAAAATAAAAAGTTTTATAGTTTTAAATACATAAAGAAATGTTTTGGTTAGGTGTTAACCTTGATAGAATCACTCAGTTTGGTGCTTTAAATTAAGTCTGTTTACTATGAAACAAGAGTCATTTTTAGAGGATTTTAACAGGTTCATGTTCTATGATGTAAAATCAAGATAAACAGTGTTAACTCTACACAGCTCCTGGTGCTTAACCACATCGACACAGTTAAAAATAAGCTGAATTATTATTTCTTGGTGCCATTGTTCCAACATCTTCCAATCATTGCTAGAAAATCAGCATATTCCTTTGAAATAAACCAATGAAATGTTTTCTCTTAAAATATTTCTCCTGTATAAAATAATTCATTATTGTTAGTAATGGTTGGAGGCTGTTCTTAAATTGTAAATATATATTTTAAAAGCACTTTCTATTTTTAAAAGTAACTTGAAATAGTATAGTATAAGAATCCTATTGTCTATTGTTTGTGCATATTTGCATACAAGAGAAATCATTTATTCTTGCTGTGTAGAGTTCCATCTTGTTAACTGCGGTATGTATTCTAATCATGTATATGGTTTGTGTTTCTTTTTTTTTTAATGTGTCCTTTCTCTTCAAATACTAGCTACTTATATAAAATAGTTAGATAATGAAAAAATGTTAATTATCTCTAAAATTGAAATTAGGAAACATTACCAGTATTGATTAACATTTTCTTTGAAACTAAGAGTGGTCTCTTCTGATATAGTGAGCAACTGTGGCCCCAATTTACCTTCATCCTGACTTTCTCAATATAATCCATGAGAGGTGTTTCCAAAGGGAGATTTGACAGAATAGGATTCTGAAGAGTCAAATGCTTCCAGTGTTTCCAGGTGATAAAAGACAAAAAGAAATTAGCTGAGCTCTATCCACTTCAAATTGCCTTATTTGTTCTGAAAGTCAATCTGGTATAGAATAAGAAAAAAATTACTGTCAAAATCTTTTGTTGAAGACAATTTCCTTATCATCATCACACCCCCACCCACAGCACAAATAAACAGTAGGATTAGTATTATAAGTATGGTTTTGTTCCATCAAGAACTAATCCAAAGTGGTTTATCTTAGCATATTAGTTTTGGGAAAATGATATTTTATCTTCTCTGATAATTGCCTATGCTCTAAGTAACAGGAAAATAGGCATTCCATTTATTTTAGTCCTCCTGCTATTTGTTCCCATCCTTTATTGGCTCATTTTACAGAAAAGCTAAAAAGATTACCCAAGTAAAATGTTTAGAACAAGAACTTTCAATGAAATACTTGATTCTGTTAAAATGCAGAGGTGCTATAACATTAAAAGTGTCAGATTCCTTGGGAGTATGGAAAACCTAATGGTGCTTCTCCCTTGAAAATGCCATAGGAAGCCCACAACCGCTAACACTCATAATTTTGGTGCAAAAGCAAACAGTTTCAGCAAGCTCTCTAACGAAAAATTCATAACTTATATTAAAATAATATATGGTGCAAAGTGTAAGTTTCAAGCTTTTGACTAACCCAACTAAAGGAATATGGAGGGATTGTAAATAACAAAATGTCAATCAATAGACCATCATCTTGTACAAGTAGATTTCTGCTTCTTGAATATGTACAATAGGGTAATTCATTGACTTGTTTTAGTATTTTGTGTGCCTTAGATTTCTGTTTTAAAACATGTATATTTTTGTGAGCCTAAGGTTTCTTATACATATGAGCATATAAATAAATAAGTGATTGTTTATTGCTTCAGCTGCTTCAATAAGATATTTACTAGTATTAGACTATCAGGAATAAACCCTTGTGATACTATGTTTTAGATTTTAGGCCTTAACTCCCACTAGAAATTATTCCTCACCAGATTTAATGGATAAAGTTGTAAGGCCCTTTATCCATTCACCCATCTATCCATTCTTCCATTCTACAAACACTTACTGAATGCCTGCAAAATTTAAATATGCTTTTGTTTTTCTTTGAATCATCATCTAAGACATAGTAAACTTAAAGAATTAAAATCCTCAAAGATACCCTTGCAAATATTTTTCAACAAAATAGCAAATTTCCTTCAAAACAATCCATTGTATCTGCAGCAATTCAAAGCAGTCTGTTACTAACTTATAACATTTTTTTTTTTAAGTTTCTTAATATAAAATTTAAACACCAACGTTGACTTATGGGTATATTGGGATTTGTGAAGCCTGTTATGGTTTACCAAAAACAATTACATAAAAATATCCAGTGTCAACTAGCACGTTTCCGTTCCATTGTTATAATTAACTTCATGAAGGGACTGTCTCAACTGATAACCCCACTGTGGGAACCACACAAGATTCCTACTTTGTTGCACTGTTTCCTAAGTTTAACAGTTTACTATCCCATTCTCTGCCCTGTGATTTAAAAAAAAAAAAAAATCTTACACTTATTCAATGTTCTGCAGCATTGTGATTGTATGCTGGATACACTGCTTTTAGAATGCTCTTTCTTATGAAGCAAGGAAATAAATTTGAAATGACATTTTCATTCAGAAAACTGGTCATCTAACATTATTTCTATACTTCTGTTTTTCAGTAATGGTCCCCTTTCACCTTTTTTTTATAGCACTCAAATTGGGTTTTAAATCTTCTGCCTTTGTTCATGGTGTGATAATTGCATTCACTGATACGTGATGCCCAATTTAGCCCCGCCCGTTCATAAACTTGTCAACTGCCATGAGAGAACAATTCCTACCTATGGTAGAATCCTAGACCCTGCAGCCCTTCAAAATATCATCTCTCATACATTTTTCTTAGGCCATTGTTGAAAATTATTCTTTTCCTTGTACCTGTCAGCTTCACCTACCTCTTGTTTCCAACTCCTCCACGAAGTACCAAATAGACCACCTCATAAACTTAATGAAATATATTATTACTGGAAAGTGAGGCTATGTGAAAACTTATAGATTTTTTGCAAAATGTTTGCATCTTAAGTAACCTTCTAACATCTTTATTACACAATCTGCATGTGGATGGAATAGTCTCATTTATTAAATATATAATTCCAGCTAGATAAGATCCATAAGCAATTTACTTAAGACATGACCCCAATACATATTTAATTGAATGCATATCCTTGTGTAAATGAGCTACTGACTTAATTCATACTTAGTAATATTATTACTTCAGTGGACTCCTACTGATTATCATTTCACAATGGCATATATGAAAATAACCCCAAACTATTTTAAGTTTAGTCTTTAAAAAATTATACTGAGATTTACCTTTTTTCTGGGACAAAGTTGTGACATTACTGCATGACAACTTCCTTTAGTAGGCACAGCATTTCCTTTGAATGTGCCGACAAAACCAGTAGCTGTGTGCAACCTTTAATAATACATACATACCTACCTTCTATTTCACACTTCCTTGATGCATGGAAATCTTTTTTTTTTTTTTTTTTGGTCTAGATTTAATACAACTGTAACTTCTGACCTTTTGTAGAAATTTATGACAAGCCAATTATGAAATAATATGGTAGTGGCCTCTCATAGCACTGAATTCACCTTCGAAGTCACATAGTTCAGTCACTTAGAGAGCAGAGGTTAATGCTGGTTTGTAATTATGCTTGTAATTAGACTTTAAACTGTCAAATGAAGGTCACTCTGTGGTTAGGAGGGCTGTAGAAAAACCAAACTGAATGTGCTTACCCAGAGGGTATTTTTATCACTGGGAAATAACCTCATTCTGGTACAAGTCAAAAGTAAAACGGCTTTGGGTTTTTTCTGAGGTTCAGGGAAAGAAAGTAAAATTGCAGCAAGATTCCCCTGCCTGCAGAGTTTCGGGGGCCTTATGTGGGAAATCTAGCTTTCTCATCTTCAAAACTCATCCTACAAAATGTGGCAATAGTCCTATTTGCTATTCAGTAAACAAATAAGTACTTATACAGTACAGGCTTTTATTTCCTTGGTAGCTAGTGTTAGGCATACGTAAGAAGTTTTAAAAGATTGGATGATTGAAATAATTGAGAAAGGTGTATTTCCATTGTAAATACTACCTATTCCCACCTCTTTGTATATATTACAGGCCACATCTCTTGCCTATTTGCCTCACAATTAAGGCCAAGCATTGTTTATTTTGATGTGGGGTGTCTACATGTATTAGAATATTGTTTTGTAGTGCACAGCTCCTAAACTTGCCCATAAGTGGATTTAATTTATAACCTCAAGGTATGGCAGTCTTAACAAAGTGATCTGATCAGTGCCTCCCTGATTCCTGAAGAAGTCTTTGGATTTATCCAAATCAATTTGTGCTCAATGTTGAGCTTTCTTCTAACAAGCTTTCAAAATGATACCATTCTTGGCTCTAGAATGCAATTCAAAAGTGAGAATCAGTATGTCTTTCATCGGAAGACGACTTTGTATATTTTCTTAGAATGTACTGAGATTCATTGGCATCTTTCGCTTTTCTTATGTATATAAAATAGAAGCTGAGATCCTCAGTTAAAGTTTCTGAGAAGGTAGAGCTGGCCTTTATGCAGGACAGCACTGTTTTTGTCCACACTGAACTCTATACACTTCTCTTCCTTCCTGCATCTGGATAACTGTTTAAACCTATTTCTTCTGGACACCCAATCAAATACCATTTGTTTGCTTCAAAAGGCCTGTATTTTATTCCATCAAGAATATACAGATATTCCTTATTATGCCACTCCTAATTTCCACTTCTCCTTTAAGAGTCCCATAATGTGTTCAAATGTAATATTTCTAGCTTTAAAAGTCCTGCACTAATCTTTTCCTTGTTAGCTGTGCTCCTTCCCCACCCCTACTGTGATATTCATGATCTCTCTGGGTCACAATTTTTCTTCTAGTCTGTTCAGCCTTAGATATCCCCTAAGTAAAACTTTGTCAAAGGTAGGAATGTTATTGTCAGATGTTAAATACATTAGCTGATTTAACCCTTT